ATAGGGTAAGTTTTTAAATTTTGTTTTTTTTTATTGTTCATTAGAATTAAAAAAAGTCTAGATTTACAAATTGAAGTCGAACAAATAGCTCAAATATTATTTTTAAAGATCGTTTCATTATATGAACATAATAGAAATCTGTTTAATGTATAATATATTCTATTACATATGTATAATATAATCTTACATTATTTTACATTAAATAAGACAATAACAATAATAAATCATGACTAATTTACCGCAATAAAAAGAAAAATTGCAATGTTCTCATCATCGCTCACCTAATATTAAACTAAGACATTTTTAAGACTCATAATTTTAGGGATATAAAATGATTCTAGAATTGTGCGAGGCTCTAAACAATTAAATTAAAGTGCACCTCAGAAATTTCACTAGAAGAAGTTGTTTTGATGCCCAAAAATCCTCAAAGTTATCATCTCGACCTCAAGATGTATAGGCATAAGAAAAATGGATTTCAAGTTTTGAAAATGATGCATCTTGTAATGCATTTTTGAACCATTAATTTTCAAGGTTTTCACATTTTCATAGACTACTCGATCTACACTATTTTTTAAACTTCTAAATTTTATAATTAGAGTTCAAAATATATTTTAAGGCTATCACAAATATTTCCAATATAGAAACCACATTTCTCGACACTATTTAAAAATGCACTTTACTTCGATTGTTTAGAGCCTCGGCTCTATACAAACTGCACCCATTGAGCGATGATCTTATAGAACCCTCCCACACCTACAAGCATCGAACCCCAACTCACACTTGTTCTTTTCAAGTCGCAATATTTATTCACCAGAAATTCAAGTGTGGAAGCATATGTTTTTCTGCCACCCAAAGGAAATTCTCTTATGCCTTTTCTAAATCAGCTGCCTTAGAAAGCACAGAACTGAAGTGCTTGCAATCCACTTGCACTCATGGCCTTCAAGATTTTATATGCCTCACTTAATTTACCAGTACTAGCTAATGCTTGAAGAACCATCAACAATAGATTTAGAGACAAAATGGCCCGAATCCACAAATATGCCTTAATAGCTCTAGGAAACAAATCCCAACCTAGTTCAATATTCAATGCTAGGGTCTTCAAGGCTATCACAAATATTTTCAATATTGAAACCACATTTCTCGACACTATTTAAAGGTGCACTTTACTTTGTTTAGAGCCTCTACTCTCTATCCCATACCTACAAGCATGGGCCTCAACTCATCACCATCGATTTCGATCCAAATCTCAAGGTGAGATTTGAATTCCTTCCCTCTCTCTATTATCAGGACCGGAAGTTTTTTTTTTTCATTTCTATGAATCTTGAGGTAGATAGATTTTCCATCGTAAGAACAACCCAAGATGATCTCAAGGTGAGATTTGAATTCCTTCCCTCTCTCTATTATCAGGACCGGAAGTTTTTTTTTTCTTTTCTATGAATCTTGAGGTAGATAGATTTTCCATCGTAAGAACAACCCAAGAAGCTCATCTTCCATGAGATAGCCAATTGCGTGTAGCGCAACCACGGAGGATGGTATCACCAATTGGACCCCAAAGTAGCCACCATTTGGATCCGACCTGCAAAAGCCACCAAGCAAGTGGATCAATGATACTCCACAGCTCCACATATTCCTCCTAATCCTTGGTCATGACTACATGTTTGGTAGATACAAGGATTCTTGGGTGAATCCCGAACAATTTAAAGGATCAAATAGAAGCAACATACATTCCGTTATATACGATTACTCTTTGTGGTTGGTATAATCCTTCTATTCCTTTTATAGCACGGCTCCTCTAATTTAACAGTTTTCATGCCCGCAACCTTAGGTTGTCTTCTAATTACTAGAACTGAAAGTACGATATACACAATACAAATCTCCAAGCCCTTTAGTAGAGATAGCTTAAGGGTTCTCACAAAGGATGTAGAAAACACCTAATTTTCTAGCGAAAAATTTAAGTTGGGAACTAAGTTTTCTGAGCGCAGCTCCTCCAGTTCGAGAACTTAATGCCAATAACCTCAGGCCGGCTTTTGGTTACTAGAATTGAAAAGTACAATATACGCACAGCTCCTATCTCGTAGCCTTTGCTGAATATGGCTCGAGAGCTCTTATAAAGGACGTAAAGAATACCTAGAATTCTAGAGAGGGACTTGTGCTGGGAAGGAGAGAAAATAAAGAAGTTGGGAAAGAGTGGGGAGAGAGACGTGTGATCATTTATAGAAACAAGTTGTTCTCTGTTCTTTCTTTCTACAACTTTTGATTACTAGAACAGAAAGTACAATATACACACTCAAATCGCTGAGCCCTTCGCTAAATATGGCTCGAGAGTTCTCACAAAGGATGCAAAGAATACTTAGTTTTCCAAAGAGACTTTAGTTGGGAAGGAGAGAAAACAAAAAAAGTTCAGAAAAAGGGGAGAGAGAGAGAAAGGCAATGATTCTTTTTAGAAATAAGTTGTTCTCTATTGTCTCTCTCTTTCTGCAAACCCTTTTTATATATATGGGCCCTTTCTAAGATTTCTTATCTTAGAAGGATTTCTATCTTGTCCCTGTGTAGATTCAAATCCTTTAACTTAGATGTATCCCTCCAGGGATATTTTCAAAATAACTACCCTAATCCCATTAAGACTCTCATCTTATCTCAATACTAAAGACAAAATCCTTTATCTCTTAAAAGTCCTTCCACACATAAGGGGCGATCCTTCCAAAAAAAAAAAAAAAGCAACATCTCCCACTCATCCTTTGCACAAGCAAGTGCCACAATGTTATCTCAAAACACGCTCATAGCCCCTCCAACATTCTATACGATCCCTAAGATTTGCAAGATCCTGTTAAGCCACATATGCCATATAATGTTCCACATCCATTCATATATTCTAATTCCACGCTGGACATGCCACTTATGTCTCTTTCCTTTTGTACCAAGAAATCACTCTCCCTTCTGGAGTGAAGAGGTTTCTTGATGTTAACAATCCATAATCCAAATTACCCATCCAAGCAGACTTACTCTATCCTCGTTACTGGAGATCACTCCCCCAGAAAGATCGACGAATTGTTCGCATTTCTCTTGAGATATTAGAGTATCATGTTCATGACCTACCAATGTTCCAAACCTGGGCGACTCTAGTAGCAACTTGACAAGTTTACTGCACATCCCATCATGCTCACAATGTGGAATACATATGACTACCTATCGTACTCGTGTACGATATACAGATTACTTTTTCAATTATCAACCTCCATTAACGGTAGAGATTCAGAATACACATGACCCTTCTTGACAGCAGCAATGAGCCCACCATCATGCATTATAATATCATTATGAGATTTACCTAACGTAAGTCACTTAAAACAAGCATAAGGAGCTTGGAATGATTATGCTTGATCGCAACAACGAGCACATGAAGCACTTCACCTATGTCCACGTCAAAAACTGGAGGACGGCGATTTCTTGTCGTTTCTTGCCGTTAGATTCTCATCAATTCATACTAACAAGATCCTGGGATTCCCATTGTTTTGTATAAAATATTATTATCTAAGAATGTCATCTAAACAGCCATACAGTCAATTTCTAAAGCCTCACTACAATGACAAACGTGAGGCAATTTAATATCACTCTCACTATTCGAGAGAATGTCTTATCGTAATCCACACGCACGATTGAGTGAACCCTTTTGCTGCTTACCGGGTCTTGTGCTTATCAATAGCCCCATTGGGCTCTCATAATTTTCAGGACCCACTTGTTACTAATGGCCTCAGTTCTTTGAGGAAGATTTACAATCACCTGCTAATGGCATCTCATCAATGGAGATGTCAGTCAAACGTTCCGCTTCATATTCGAAATGCCTATAGGGAACTCTACCATGTGCACTCCTATGTGGTTCAGGAATAAATGGTGATTTACTCCTACTGTTCTCAATGACCATGGAAATACTCCCACAATCACCTGCTAATGATGGAATTTCCTTACCTTCTTGGTATCAGTAATCAATCGTCCTACATAGATTTAGAGTCATCCAAGACCTCCTTAAGGTGACGAACTTCAACTCAATGAAGTCCACATCCCATGATTCAACTTTTTCTTAGGTCACCCTCTTTATACTCACAACCTAGGTAAAGCCATTAGAATTCTTAAAACATATAGTGAGGATCTACACTATGGACCTCTAATTTAGCTCATTATCAGGAAAGATGACAAAAACAACCGACACCCAAAGACTCAAAAGAAATAGGTGGCGTTTCTTACTAGTTCATAACTCTAAAAGGGGTTTTAGACACAAATCTTGAAGGCACCCTATCCAAGATGTGCACAGCGGTCAACAAAGAATCTCTCAAGAGCTCACATAGAGACTTGCTTATATGCTACCATGGACATCACCGTACCCTATAGGGTAATCCTTCTCTCGACAACACTATATTGCTGCAGAGTATGGGGCATTATTTCATGTTGATGAATCCCATGATCCTGAGAGAATTGTCCCAGACAATTATATTGTTTACTTGCACCCCCTATTAGTCATGAGAGTATAATCCTTTGCCCTAACTAGTTCTCAACCCTTAACTTAAAAGGGTGTGGTTTCCATGAGGTTGCAACCTTAAACAATCTATTTAAGGTGCACCTTCAAATTTTATCTTTACACATAATTTTGATGTAAAATATTCTTAAGATTATCTCAAAATCTATTTTCATATATAATTATAAAATTTTAAACTCTAAAAGTGATTAAAATCAAGTAGATCTATAAATATCTGAAAATCTTGAAAATAGAGAGTCTAGATAATGTATTGTAAGATGCACCATTTTTGGGACTCAAGATCCTTTTTTTTTTCATAGTCATTCATCTTGATGTCGAGATGATCAATTAGAGGGTTTTCATTATTAAAACAACCTTTTCCGATGGTTTTTTGAGGTGCATCTATAGTTCTACATTTTAAGGTTGCAACCTTATATAAACTTTTCCCTAACTTAAATCTATTAAAGCAACAAGTTACCTCTGATTCCAGTGAGATTCAGTATATTCATTGATGGCACGAGTATTCATATTATTATTTGTGGCAGGGCCTTAACATCATAGGGACTACATATGCCCAGGTAAAGATATCTAATAGCTCTTTCATCTATGTTCCTTACAGATAGCTTTTCGAGCGGCTATGTCCAGTGAACAAAGGTTCTGACATTGGCAAATTCACTCTGGTTAATGATTCATCTACAAAGGAACCCACATAAACAAGTAATTGTACACAAGGTTTCACCTAAACCCTTCCCCTTAAGAAACAAATTGAATGTCCCATTGAAGAGGGTTCCGGATAGTTAAGAGTGGACTTCTCCTAGTGTCAGAAGCATAGAGCATTTAATAGACCAACATGGACAAACCGAAACAAAGCAATGATCCAAAAGACCTTATATCCACCATATCCTCAGTGGTGTGGATTCCCATCAAGTGCTTACACCTCCCATTGGTATAAGAGAAGCTGAATGAACCCGTCTTGATGCTCAAGAATCCATAATCCAACTAATGGAAAGTGAATGAGCATCCAGCACCAAATGCATGCATCACGGAGACAGTGGAGTAGACAGTTCATGCCACCTTTTGCTTAGTGCATTCACGAGTGAAGTGCCCAATTTATGTTGCAATCGCAGTAGGTCAAGGCTAACGTTTTCCATTTGGAGTGATACACTTACCTCACCTCATTTTGCTATTGACACCCTCCACCTCCATATCCTTTTTCCTCTTAGGAATGTCACCACTAGTTTTGCCTTTGGGTTTGTTGCTACCCTTGGGCCTACCCTCCTTGGCAAGCATGACAGCACTACTATCACTCACAGAGCGATGCCTTCCTCTAACTCCACACGTCGGGATTAGTGGCACCCTAAACATACAGCATCAGTATATCCATTTGGTTCCTAAAAAAGAGGCAGTGATCAAAGCACAAAAATAGACACTTAAAATGATGGCAATAACCCTCATGTCACACGTCTCTGCAATGTCTCCACAAATGCTCTGTCATGGAGACATTGCAGCCTTTAGTACACATTAAATGCCAACAAGAATACGCACAATATAGTAGCTTAGGTGACAGGCTGCCAGCAAACAGGAAATATAAGGTTTGCCTTATTCCCCTGGTAATTGGAAAGCTTTAAAACTGACATATTTAGTCATGGCACATGCTACTCAGCATAGAGAAGTGTGCACAATGATCATTATTGATCCATGTCTAATAAGTCTCCATCCCATGACTAGCATAGGTCGGGTACCCTTCATCAAGAGGGTCCATGTTGACAATTAGGTTCTCTAATACTGCTTGCATATCAAGAGGGTGCTAGAATACATATATCAAGTTTCTTACCATTTAACATTTCCCCTCTAAGGATGTTGGCAATCAAATCCTCTTGATGCCTTATCTGTGAACGTAAAAAGAAAATCACAACAAATTACATGGATATATAGTTTGTCCACACATTCATTCACACACGTATCATCATTTCTAACACTCTTTTGAATCTTCAAGAATAAAAAAGTTCTACTTCAAAAGCGCCCGAAATGAAAATCTTGTGCAGCCAGAGAGGACCACGGCAAGTAATCAACATCAAATCAAATTTGGGAGAAAGGCTTTCTGATAGTCATCATCAATTGAGTATTGTGTCCCAGATGCAAAATCCCACCATTTGGTGCAAACTAAACAGTAGCAAAAAGGCATAATACAATTTTAAGGCCAAAAAGGGTAGAAAAACGAGTAACAATGTCAATTTTCTGGAAAGACTGTCACTTGTTCAAAATAATTAGACTCTTTCCAAAGGTAGGAGCCTGTAATCCCTACTAATCTACCCAAGAAAAAAAAGGGGGGGCCGTCCCTTGTGGGTGGATGGACTTCTAGAGAATAAGGGATTTTATCTGTGGCATTGGAACGAGATGGAAATCCTAATAGGATTAGGATTTATATTTTGGAAATATCTTAGGAGATATATATCTGAGACAAAAGATTCAAATGGACATATAGATTAGATAGGAGTCCTTCCAAGATAAGAAATCTTAGAAGAAGGCCCATCTTTATAAAGAGGGTTTGTAGAGAGAGAGAGAGAATAGAGAACAATTTCTTCCCAAAAAGATTCATATGCCTCTCACTCCTCTCTTTCCCACCTTTTTAATTCACTCCTTTCCAACTCTCTAGAAAACTACGTGCTCCCTACCTCCTTTGTGATATAACTCTTGGGTTATCTCCATCAAAAAGATCGGAGATTTGAGCTATGTATATCGTACTTTTGCTTCTAGTAATCTAAAGTTGACATGAAGTTGCGGCCATCGATCTCTCGAATTTGATGTTTTCTCTCCTTCCCAACCCAAGTTTATATCTCTAGAATACTAAGTATTCCATACATCCTTTGTGAGAACCTGAAAGCCATCTCCACCAAAGGGCTCAAGGATTTGAGCTATGTATATTATACTTTCGATTCTATTAATCAAAAGTCAGCCTAAGATTGCGAGCATCAAACTCTTGAATCAGATGAACTGCACTTACAAAGGAACAGGATGGTCGCACCAACCTCAAAAGAGTAATCGGATCCAAAAAAACTATATAACCTCTATTAGATCTTTTAATTTTGTACTTTTTCCACATTCGGGATTCACTGAAGAATCCTACAATTATCCTCAAAATTATAGATGTTAAGGATCTTCTCTAAATCTTCTCCATCAAACTTTGTTCTTTGCTTTTCAACTTTATTAACAAATGAAAGAAATGAAGAAAGAGCTATAAATAAAAGATAGTACCAACTTTATAGAGGTTTCGTATTATAATTATAATAATATTTTTCCAAGGTATCAAATGACATTCCATTAATTAACAAATGTCCCAACCTACATCCACTCCCCCACCCAGCCACACACACAAAATAAATAAATAAACTCCCTCAATATGCATAGGCGATTGGGCAGCCACCTCCGCTTTTTTGAACATTGGTTTCACACCCATAGTTACCAAGATCTTCCCACTTGGTGGCGATCTCGGTGACCCCACACTCTAGAAGCTTGACCATGGGTGGATCTCGCTCCTATATAAGGGGAACACGATCCCAATCCCCTAGGGATTGCTTGATATAAATCGCACTCATGTTAAAGTGATCTCTTATAAGGAAACAAGTCTTAAACGCATATCCATTAAACAAAGAAAGTAATTGTGTTGCAAGATCATGCTCTATATGTTTCTTAAAGAGAAAATAGATGCATTTACTAGATGGATCTTGGACATTTAAAATTTATCATGAGATCCCAAAAAGTTGGGATCCAGCTCCCCAACATGTTGGGGTCTAGGTCTCTAAAATTCAAGGTGCAGAGACAATGATCCCAACCATACAGAGCTTTTAGCCTATCACAATCCTACACTCCAAATCCCATTCCCAATCTCAACAACTATCTTCAATTGCAAGGAAGGAGGCACAACGACTAGGGTCCCTTGACACTTGCATATCAGAAATCAGCCAGTATGAAAACCGGATCAGGCACCTAGTTTAGATCTGATTACTTATAGTAAACTAACACTGTCATACTTTTAAGTGAGGAACCTAACTCCAATTCGAAGATGATTGACAATGAACTTATAAGGGGCCTCAGAGACTACTTTTTCTGAAGAGGACTTCCCACTAATGCCCTGGAATAGGGAAACTATTGTGTATGACTCAAGCCCATGGTTGCAAGGAAGACCTCTTTGAAATTCTCACCCTCACGGACTGCCGCAACGGTCACAACGATTGGGTTATCCTGTCTTCTATAGAGGAACAATTGACTGAATTATGAGCCCTTATGGCAACCACACACAAGCTTTGTTGGCTCAAACGGACACTGATATAGCCAAAGCAACTCCTCTAGTCCCCATATCACTTTTTTTTTTCTTTTACCATATCGATTCCTCATATTTTCTTCTCCTTTTTTTCTTTTTCTTTTTTTGGATTTTTTTTTTTTTTGTGAGTTGGGGTTTGAAAAAATCATACAAACACTAAGCATGCCAACCATCCAGAAGCCTTGAACTAGCAGGTGAACAATGACCCCCACCCAAAACAAGCCAACGAGGGACGATCAAGCCGACCCACTAATAATAAGATAACAAACAGAATCTCCCTTTTTCATAAACATAAAGCTTCAACATATTGGCTACATAATATATTGAAACAAGTATACATATCATTATTAAACAATTTGTTACATAACATCATCCATCATCTTGGACATCAAGTATGTATCTCTTTGGTTGTGTCACATAAAAAGTTTCATTCTATTTCTCCATTTACGAAATCATCTTTAATATCTATTTAGGAAATTATCCATTAAGAAAGCTATTCAAACATTCATCAAAAGGATTCTCAACATCATAATAGACAACAGCTGCCACAATGATCACAATTATCGCTACTTAACCATAGACATATTGGTCATAGCCACCATCTAGCTTATATTTTCTGTGCATCCATAAAGTACAACTGACACTCACACTTTTTCATTTCAATTGAATCAACCTCCTTGAGAGTTATGAAATTGAATCAACCTCATCATCCATCGCATGCAGTCATTCCAGGATTTATCTGAACTACACAATTACAAGTTTCATTTATTTCATACTCCCTCATATGGACTCATAAAACCCATATCTCAAGAATACTTAGGGAGAATAAGTAAGACTATAGGAGTGTAACTTTTGAATTCCTCTCACAAAACCTCACACTAAGGGAACAATGAGTGAACCTAGAATACTTAGATTGTCCTTCTCCTCACATTGGATTCTCAACATTTATCACCAACCACATTTAATTTCTAGATTCTCTTTCTCAAAAGTGTAGGGAAAGTAAGATTCCCATCACAAATATTTCCTAAAATTTCAAACCTCTTATTTAATTTGACATTCATTACTTTTAAAACAAAGAATATTCAATTAAAATCTTTAAAAAATTATTATAAATAGAAATTACGAAAGGATTTTTTTAAGAATCGTTGGAATACTTAACTTCTTTATCATGGTAAACACACGTGTCAGTAGCCAGTTTCTCAGACAATGTGCTCAATGCGCATGGTTATCATACACAAACACATTTCCAAGTAGAATCTTTGGAGCATTACTGATTCCTCGGGCAACGAGATAGTGGATTGATTCCTACACCTATGGGCTCAGGTTCCTTCCTCCTCTAGAGCTATCTTGATTTGGACTAGACGGATGTCTTGAGCCCAATTCTCAAGACTTTTTCGCTCATACAGTCGCATGGTTCCGAAATGACGCGCTATTCCGTCTCATCCTTTCCCCCAGGAAGAAGAAAAAGGAGGGGGCCGAGGAAAAAAGACTTGGACCCGCTTGTTTGAATCACTGACAGTTCGGGAAGATTGCGAAAGCAAGATGGAGAGAATCATGCAACATGCACCGTATCACCACAAAATACCAATAGGTGATTATCCTCAGACATAAGCTTGGCATTGTATTCGTAAGGGAAAACGAAAACATCTGGTCTCCCTCCCGCCACAGTATCACCATAAACTACCAATAGGTGATATGATAGAAAATTTATATTGTATTTGTCACAAACACACACACATAGGAGAGTGACATTTAAACTTCTCGCAACTATTATTTTAACCTCTATATTTCCTAAAATCTCACCTCTTTAAACTCCTATGCCCAAAATGTATTTAGTTAATCTCTTTGATTTGCTATTAAATCCAATTACTAAGTTGTCAGAAATATCATATCCATCTAAACTTGAAAATCGTATGTTTTATCCAGATCTTAATTAAAAAAATATTATAAAAAGAAATAGGAGTGAAAAAAAAACTAAATAAATAATTCACAAAGGGCATTAATATTCAAAACATAACTATCAAAAATTGGAATCAGTAAAATAGGAATTTCTATAATCATGTTTGGCTTGTCAATAAAAAATAAAAATAAAAAGAAAAGGTTAAATAAATTTAGACAAGCTATAAAAACTATTTTGAAAAAATTAAAATGATAAAAATAAATAATAAAATTTTATTCAATATTTATTAAAAATTATTTCATCTGACCTCTCAATAGGAGGACAACATAACACATACCATTAACTAATTTTCTCTTGAAGATAAACGTAGTTACCGTTTTAAAAAAACGGATAGATTGTACTACAAACGTGTTATCAAGGGTAAACCCAATAAAGCTTTGCGACAAATGTAAACAATGCATTTCTTGAATAGTTTTGATCATGCCAACTGCTACCTTTTTTCTTGGAAAAAAGAAAACCAAATATGTTGTGGAAGACTTTATTAGAGGCAATGTGTATCGCACTTTTGTTGTCGCAGTACATGTCCATAGCTTATGTTTTTGAGAATCCCAACTAAGATAGGTCCAAACAAGTTCACTGGCAGTTAAAGCCATGGTTCTACATGTTGAGGATTGATGTCTTGTACTCTGAGGAAATAGATCTGCCAAGATGGAGTCAAAATGACAACTCCAAAGGGCTGCCAAGTAGACTTAGTTCACTTGGCCCTTGCGGGGGTTTGGGGGCAGCAACCTCCAAGGAAAATTTTGAATATCCGTACATGGGATTCGATATATATCTGAACATAGGGTATTTCAGTAATTTGTACCATCTATCTGGGATGGTTTTTTAGGTTTAAAGGAAAAGCGAATATCTCTTTGTAATCAAAGAGAACAGAGAGGCGTGAGGAAGAGAGCTATTGTAACCCTATTCTTCATTGCCAGTAAAGAAGCTCTCATCTCCCGTGGAAGTAGGCACGTTGCCGAACCACGTCTATCTTTGCGTTGCGGTTGGTTGTCTCTTTCTTTTGTGTTTGTTTCTTCTTTCTTGTTTTCGTACATTGCTTTTCGTTTCTACACTATATTCATGGTTGGCAAGCGTCTCAATGCCAGGAAGCGAAAAAGTCTTCCATTTCTGGCACAAATGCATAGTTATTCCATACATACAAACAAATAGAAGGTGGCAGCACTAGCACAAATAGCGCTAGCGAAGGCAAAGTTCAAACCCAATAGTGGCAATCTTCGGTTTCCGATCCTCTCTTTCATGCCTTCTTTTCAAGAAACAATTTCATGTTATGAGACGACAATAAGAGCTCATCCTTGTACCAACTACACGTCACACTATAAACAAGGAATAAATTGATAGGCCACCTCTAGTTAAAGATCATCATTGGTTGAGGCTTTGTGGGATGAAATATCAGACATCAATGTGGATAATCTACCATTGACATCTAAGGGATTTGGAAAATGAAACGATACAAGGATAATTACTCTCAGTAATCATTTCAAAAACATTGAATATGTCTTAAAATCTCAGTGACTCAAATTCCAAGGATGTATACTCAATTTTTATGGAGCTTCTAAGTGAACCATGGTCTATATGGGATGAGAAACATACTCTCAATAATAATTTGAAAATGACATATAACTGTCTTAAAATCTCAGGGACCTAATAACATCCTACCAAATTACCAGCATACTACCAATGTCAAGAGATGTGAAACCAATTCTTATAAAGATTCTAGGTGAGACATGGCCTATTTGGGATGAAAAGCTCAGTTATAAGGTGCAAACAATCCAAGCCCAAGCAAAGCTCAAGCACGTTCAAGCATGGCTTTGCATTAAGAGCTGTACAAGCTTGAGCTTGGTTTGACCTTGACTCAAGCGTGAGTCACCCAGCTTGAGTTTGAGTTGGCTTGATTTGTTTTACTTACAAAAGCCCATAAAAAGCCCAAAACCAAGCTGAGTCAAGCCATAAACAACCAAGAACAAGTCTGTAAAGAAGGCAATGTATAATACCTTATTTAATAACACTTATATTAGACAATACAATATCTTAAGTTCGGTTTCCTATTTGAGGCGAGGTCCATGTAATATAGTATACACGTTACATCTTTTAATTATACATATATGAATAATTATATCAAAACCAACTTGAGATGAGAACAAGCGGAGCTTTTTTCAGCTTGAACTTGGTTTGTGAAGTAAACGAACTAGTGGGCTCAGTATGGCTTGGCTTCTTGAGCTGAAAATACTCTCCAAGCATGCTCATCATGACAAAAGGCAAGCCAACTTGAAAGCTGGCTTGGCCTGTTGACAACCACCTAATCATTTAGGGAGACCTTGGGCATCCACTAACCTTTGTGGGGTGCAGAGGTGTTTACAACGTTGACACCCCTGCTCATCTAGAGAGAGCTTTGGCATCCTCTTAACCTTTGTGGGGCAGGCAGGTGTTTGTATTGAAGAAGCTCAGCTATCAAGCCAAGATCTTCCTTCCATTTATGGAAATTTGTACAAGCCCCTCAATTAAGGGGATTCCTTTCACATTACTATGTGGGCTCAGAAACATGGGTTATCCTCTTGTGCAGATCATCTCCTGATGAAGAACTACATTCCTTCATAAGCTTTCTACCTAAATTTTATTTCCTCTTCACTATGGATTCTTTCTTATCAGCTTAAACTTTTCTTTCTTTGTTGCTTATACCTTTTTTCCTCAATTTTTTTTTAATCTTTGACAGGTTATTATGATTGGTTTCAGCATTCATGCACCACCCTCCTACTCATCTGTTATTTCTCATAGAACAAATGAAAATCACTGCACATTTTTTTGTTCAAAAGCACTGAACTGTCAAGTTTTTAACAACCAATAAAGTACACATCATTAGCAGGCAACCACCAATATGGTGGCAATATCAGCTGATTGCATGAGTGGATATTGGACAACAATTTTCCAATTGAATTCCAAACTACAAGAGACCTTTTAAGGTACATAGAACCCAATATTAGGTGAGGACGTAAAGTGGTAGATGCGAACACACTGCATTGTTATAACATGTGCTAAAATATTCAAAGCCATACCGCTCACCCACAAAGAGAAATAGGTAAGAAGATAAGGAGGATGTCTCCAAAGCTTTTAAAACAACTCATAGGATTGAAACTTCATTGGTAACAACTCATAGAATTGAAACTTCATTAGTAAGGAATTTGATTTTCTAGCGAATTTGTAAAGAATGGAGTACCTTGTGAGCCAAAAACCCCATCAGAAAGAAACTACGTTTGACACATCCAAAGGGTACTACTATAAGGATTCAAATTATTAAAACTATTATTAAAACTTAAAAGAGAGAACTTCAAGAAAATAAAATTCTCATTGTTATCTGAGAAAACCTTAGAAATAATGAATAAAGCCAGATTCCACATTAGATAAACTCAAAAGGGATGAATCCATTCACAACCCAAAATCCTGTAACCCCAACACATAATCTACAGTAGTTTATCCCAAGGAGATAATGAAGAAACAAACTGTACCACATTTTAATAAAATAAAGTACAACTCTTCCTCTACTTACTTCATTGGTAAACAATGATTCAAATCTTATGCTGCAACCTCAAGAACCTGAAAACCCAACATATATTTCACACATAATCATCCTATAGAGAATGACATGTGCAAATCAACCCAATTTCAATAAAAGTACCTCCCATCTAAATATTCAGAATTTCCATTACCTGGAAAGAAGGAAACTCAGACTTGGGTTTTGAATAGCTTCCTCCTAGCAATGAATCTTGAGATCGGTGGTGTCAGGGCTAGGGTTATGGGAACACGAACAGGAAACAACGCCTTGTTGCAAAGAATTGCAAGAGCCAAGGCTCCACCACTCGAGGCCGCAAGCTCTGCTGTCCTGTTACGTGAGCCATTGCTGGGCTCATTGGAGCCATTGATGGTCTCTTTTGAGCCATTGATGTGCTCATTAAAGCCATCAATGAACTCATTAGAGCTATGTATAGGCTCGTTTGAGCTCTTTGATTGCTCATTCGAGCCACTGGAGAGCCCTATCTTTCCAAGCATGGACTCGACATCGACATTATTCTTAATGGCGACGTACAGACCCGAAACAGAAGCTGCAGAAACTGACAAATGAACACCCAGAGCGACTTTCCCATACTTCTTCATCAACTCCTTCATTCTCCCAGTAAATGCCATTGAAGAGCTCTGGTTTCTACTCAAAGTTGCAAACACAAGCTTAAAAACGCTATGACTGAAAATAGTGTTTCTCTGGTTTCTGGCTGTGCGATTTCCTAATGCTTTAATGGGTTTCCTCTGGTTTTCGTGAGGGCTTTAACGTTCAAAATGAAAATATGTGGCTTTTCTATACAATCAGCTTTTCTCCTCTATTCAGTCAAATGTGGAGCTCTTACGCCATTGCTCTGTTCCTCTTTGTTCTGTGGGCGAGCAATTTTTTAGGGTTCCACTGATTCTAGGGGTTTTTTAATTACAGTGGTGCTCTTTTTTAGGGTTTAGGGTCTGGGGGCTCCAAGGTTTAAAAGAAAAGCAAGGAAAAAGTTTATATAGGTTGCGTCCTTGAAATGTAGAAATACGGAGGCACCTACAAAATTGATCAGAAACGACATAGTCATGTATGAATATAACAAAAAAAAAAAAAAAAAAAATTTGAGTCATGTAAATAGTGCATTTTATAATACATTATCTATACCATCCATTTCAAGATTTCATATGTTTGTAGATCTACTTATTTTAATTATTTTTGGAGCTTATAATTTTATAATGGGTGTGGTTTGTATAGAGCCTAGGCTCTAAACAATCAAATTAGAGCTTACATTCAAGTAGTGTAGAGAAATATTGTTTCAATACTCAAAATCTTTTTGATAGCCTTAAAATATATTTTTATTTTTATTTATAAAGTTTAAAGCTTAAAAAATAATGTAGATCGAGAGATCTATGAAAACTTGAAAATCTTGAAATTTGACGGTCCAAAGTACGTTACAAAATATACTATTTCCAAAACTTGAAATCCATTTTTTTTATCATGTCCGCACATCTTGATTTCGAGATGATGAATTTGAGGATATTTGGACATCAAAACAATATCTTCTAGTGAAATATTTGAGGTAGGCTCGGATTTGATTGTTCAGAGCCTCGGCTCTATATAAACTTTTCCCTTCTATAATTAGATTTGAAAATAAATTTTCAGATAATTCTTATAATTTCTTACACCAAAATCACATATTATGATAAAAGTTGGAGGTGCACCATAATTGGATTGTTTAAGGTGGCAACCTTCTAGAAACTACACCCTTAAAAGAATAATTTCTGAAAATAAAAATAAAACGAAGTTTCTTGACATGATGAAGTTTAGGGTGGCCTAGGCTTTATGAAAATTGAAAACAAAATAAAACATCATCTCAAATCCTCATCCAGAAAGCACTTTCGGCAACAAAAATCTCCATGGATCTAAAATCAATTTCCAACACTAAATTAATTTTGAAACTCAAAAAATAGCACAAGTCTTGTAGATCTATAAGCACTAATTTAGAAGTTGAAATGAACCGTCTATATAATTTATTACAATATACTAATGTTTTAGAGCTTAAAATCCTAAATGTTTTTCACAACCGTAATGTTCAAGCCAAGATAATAGATATAAATGTTTTCCAATCCTTGAATTATATATTCTGACCAAATATGGGGTTATGCTTTACTTTTTTTGATAGCGTGGCAGTCCTATAAAACCACTTTCCGTTCTCTATATGGTCTCTTAATATACATGAGAATAAAATACTATAGTCCACATGGTTACCAAGATAATCGTGCTCTATGGTATTATCACCGTCCAATTAAATGATTCAATGTGAAAAGAAAGAGGATTGTACAGTTCAATATTTGTGGAACTCGAAATCTCCAGCACCATCCAACCTATTGATTCGACAGTGATGAGCACCATATGGTAAAGTTATTGCGTACTTATCTCGTTTGCTTTTATAAAACATAGAGAGGGAATGTATACCATGATATATGTATCATATTAGAGCAGTATGATACATATATCTTGAGCTCCGCTATGTTATTCGCATTGATCAGCTCCATCTTTGCCATCCACTAGGAAAAACAAAGGTTGAATGTGTAGTATATTAAATGTATGCATGTTATATTCTACACATAGCCATTGTTTCAAGGAAAAGTGTTTCATGTGAGCTAGATCGCATTTCTACAATATGCAGTCTAGAGATATAAAGCATCCATCTTAAAAATAGATGCAAATAGGTAGTCCATTTAAAAATAATTGTAACTAACGTTCCAAATATTTTTTTAATATAATTATTATTTCTAGTTTTCAATTTTTTTTTTTTCATATTCATGATCTTCATGCTAAAGATTATATATTCTTTAAAAATTAGAAGTAACTTATATTTAAAAATATATTTAGTACCAAGCCCACATTTCTACGATATACGGTCTGGCTGCATAGAAAATGTGTCCTTGCTTCAACTAAAAAAGTTTGGATCTAATCTAATGATATGACTTGTAAGTTATTCTGATCGTAGCATAGTGTACATTTGCTCCCTCGAGAAAAAAGTGAATATATACTTTGCTACTCTTCTAAAAAATCAAGCCTCAAGATTAAACACATGCTATCACGACCAATCCAATTTTTGTATGGTAAAACCAATGAGTTTAAAGTGGATCTCAAACATAGTCCTCGTAAATATGTATTTTTCCTGGGGAAAAAGCATATAATTTTTTTTATTTTGTTTTTTTGGGTAATTCAACAGGAAAGACTGGCCCTACCTATTTTTTCAAATAGTTTAAGTATCAATTTTTTTTAAGATATTAACCACAATGTGATGATTAGAGTGTGGAAGTAGTACAACCATGATCCAATCCATTTCCCAAAATGTACAATTTACTCATATGAGAACATTATATGTATAAATATATAAGAAAGAAGGTGCAAACATTTATTAATTGGAAATGAAGTTAAAATATTGTATGCTCTCACCGGCGCTTAAGCTACAATCCGGCTATGAGAATTTCTTGGATTCGATTTTTTGGGGATGTAATCTACGTACCCTAGTGACGAGCGAAGAGGAAATATCCAATGACTTACCCCAGCATAGCAAGAAAAAAACACTCATAAATTGAACACAAATTTAGGGCTGGCAATAGGTTGGTCGGGTCCGGGTATTGTTGGCTCCAGACCCGGATCCGACTCAATAATTAAAATATCTATATATTTAACTATATTTAAATATATTTCATATATTGGGGGCCTAAAAGATATTGTTGAACCCGAATAGTGTTCAGGTCAAACATTTGGACCAGGACCTGACCCGTCAAGTCTTTTTTGACCCATATCCAAACCAGATTGGATCTAACCCTCGGGTCCCATATCAGATCCGGGTCCATTGCCACCCCTACACAAATTGTCCATTTTTAGCCGTTTAGGAACTCAAAATCAATAACCTTTAAACAATTTAACAGTCTAGCCTTTTTCTACTATTCAAAACCACAGTTCTATGTATTTTAATGGGTATTTTGAAATAAAAAAGAAATGAACAAATAGTTGATCTTTTTGTGTGTAATTCATCATGATTCACGGTGGTTGTTGCACCCGAGAGAGCAGCATACCCCTCCCATAAATAAAAGAAAGATAGGAGAGAAAAAAAGGATGAAAACATGTGCAATTCCAAGGCGTTCATCCTAGACGGATTGGTGGAGTTTTCGTCGACCCATCGGAAAAAGATTTGAGAAAAGGTGCTGAGAGAGAAGAAACCTATAAGAGGGGAACTATGGAGCTAGTAAATAGGATGAAAGAGAAATAGAAAATGTAGAGACACTAGAAATTAGCAAATTAGTAAGGAAAATTGTTTCATGCTGTCAAGATTGCATTTCTACATTTGCGACCCCGAGGTAAAAAAATAAATGCAAATAGGTGGTCTATCCTAAAATAATTGAAATTAATGGTCTAAATATTTTTTTAATAACACTATTTTTTTAATTTTAAAAATTTATTTATTTTTTCATATTCATGATCTCTATATTAGATATTACATGTCCTTAAAAATAGGTCCACAATTCTACTTCAAAAATAGATTTTTAAAAGGTGACTCATTTCTACATGGACTTATATAAACCGTGTCCAACTAGTAATAGCACAAAAAAAAAACATGCAGTTAGTGAGATAGAGACCCGGTCAACCCCTTTGCTTTTGCCCAGCAACTTTCAAGGATGATGAGCATCAAATTAGGGAGGATACATGAAGCCAGTATATAGCGAGAAAAAGTTCATAGAAAGGAAAGAAAAGAGTCAAAAGAATTCCTACTCCTATGTGAGTATATTATCCATTTACTCCATTGGGAATACTTTTTAAATCTCAAAATTTTTCCATTTACTCCATTGGGAATACTTTTTAGATCTCAAATTTTGGGGATGTATATATACAACCCATAAACTAATCTCAGTAAAAAAATTGGAAAAACTTTCTATACTTCCTTACTCCCCCAATCCACCCGTCCAATTTAGATCAAGTGTGTCTCTGACCGTTTGATCTAGATCTGATGCTTCAGCATATTTTATTTGTCATCGTTTTGTTTTTACAAATTATATGAACATGACATTTAGTATGTTCCATCGTCTCAATGAGATGCACCTAAAAAAAGTTTTAAAAAGTTATTTTATAAATAAAATAACCAAAATACCCTTAAAATTTTCAAGTGTATTTTGGTTATTTCATTTAATCAATAATATATTTTGATTTTTATTGAATGTGCAACTTTAATAGAGGCCCGGACTCCCAAAATGTAGTGTCAAAAGGTTTTGTAGAAAAAAGATTAAAAAATAAAACAATATTGAGGTTCGACATTGTCATCGGGTCCATCTCAACTGTCCATTAAGATCTGATATACAGATAAGTATATAACTTCTATACCTCAAGAGAAGTACATAAAGCTCTCCTAAATTTTTTTTCAAAATTAACTCTCTATATGCCATGCCTCAAGATTGAATGGAGTCTGTAGAATTTTTGAAGGGCTAGATCTAAGTGTCACAAAACTCAAAATTCAAATTCTCTTTATTTTGAAAATAATCATCTAGGACTTCTTACTTGGTTCCCAAAAATATTATGACTAAAATAATCATCCTAAATAGATATTTTGCGTAAGGAAGCATACACAGTATGCTCCTGTGAGAGCATAGTATACATGCTCAATGAAAAAACTAGAAGGAGAGAGAGTCAAAACCTCACCTTTGGGCTTGGAACACACTTCAAAAGGGACCACAACCTCAACGATTCCCATGGCCTTAGACCCGAGAGCCACATGTGGTGGACCAAAGTTTCTCTCTCTATCTCTCTCTCTCTACAAAAACACATCCTTTACAGCTTCTCTCTCTCTTTCTACCAGAACCCATCTCTCAGCCTTCCCTTCTCTGTTCAATGGCACTTCTCTCTCTCTAGAATAATACCTGTTACAACTTTCTCTCACTTTCTAGTGCAATCTTTGTACTCAGTAGAAAAGCATCTCTTAACCTCCCTTCGTCTCTCTAAATAACACATTCTCTCCCTACATTATCACTTTCTCTCTCTAGAAAATAGATGCAATGGCGAACCAGCAGACGGTCAATGTATCAAACGCAACAGATACAGGGCTTGTGTGTTACTCTCCAACATGGATCACAACCAATGGTATATGGCAAGGAGATAATCCCCTCCACTACTCTTTCCCTCTCTTCACCATCCAACTGACACTAGTGGTGGTCGCCACCCGCGTCTTGACGTTCCTCCTCCGGCCCCTGAGACAGCCTCGGGTTATCGCAGAGATCATCGTGAGTCCCCCTCTCTCTCACTCCAGGATTATGGCCAGCCCTCTCTCTCTCTCTCTCTCTCCAACACATGCTTTCTCTCTCTGAATCTTTTCTCTCAAACAAATATTCTCTCTCTAAGTTTTTTTTCTCTCAAACAAATATTCTCTCTCTAAGTTTTTTTCTCTCAAACAACTATTCTCTCTAAGTTTTTTCTCTCAAACAAATATTCTCTCTCTATCATACTCAATATTACAGTGAGCCACTTCTTTCTCTCTCTAGGACACATGCTCTGTCAAACATTCTCTCTGTCATCTTCTCTACATATAAACCTGCGAGACTACATATTTCTTCGTTATAAAAGATGCCCCTCTTGTGTCATTGACAAAAGGCAAAAGTTTATATAAGGGTGAGGCCCTGAACCATCAAATTAAAGTGCACCTTAAAAAAATTTTACTCAAAGAGGTTGTTTTAATGTTTAAAAATTCTCAAACCGATCATCTCGACCTCAAGATGTACGAATATGAGAAAAAAATGGATTTGAAGTAATGAAAATAGTGATATCTTGTAATACACTTTTCTGGACCGTCAATTTTCAAGATTATCAAGTATTTTTTTTTTTTATAGTTAACGGTAATTTCATTGAAAGAATGATTGTCAAGTGTTCATAGATTTGTTCGATCTATAATATTTTTAAAGTTTTAAATTATTTAATTAGACATAAAACTTAATTTTTAGGCCATCACAAAGATTTACGGTACTAAAATAAAGAGGTGTCTTAGTTTGATTGTTTAGAGCGTCAGCCTTATACAAACCACACCTTTGACAAAAACCCATCCATCGTCTTCTATTTTAAACTTGTTTTTAGCTCCTTTCTAAACTCCTTTTTCTAGAAATAATATATGGTCATTAATTTCACTTATTCTCACTGCCAAAATGCACTAAAAAGAACCTCAAAAGATTTGACCGAAAAGCACCTAAAAACACATTAAGACTTTCTATTTGGTGAAAACAAACCACAGCCACATAAACCAAGCTCTCAGGCAGAAAAGGGGTTGGGGTCGTGGTGGTAGTATCATACACCTTAGTCACTACATTGTGATTTTTATTTCCACCATTAACACCACTTCATTAATATATTAAAAAAATTAACTCCTTATCTACTTGAAGAGACAAGTATGGGTATGTCTTCTCCATTGACCTACTTCTCTATCTTTAAGATATATATATATATATATATATATATATATATATATATATAGTAAATAACTAACAAATAGTACCTAGTAAGAAAGTAATAGTAATAATTAATTTAATTAACTAATAATGTCA